CAGTCCTGATGGTRGGGAAGTGAGTGAGCAGCTCCATGGGGCTCGGTTGCTGGCTGGGGCTAAACCACAACAATGCCAAAGAAAGAAATGGCAGGGCACACACTAGATTTCAGAAGCTTAACAATTCGTGATTTAACCAACCATACTGTAGGCAGAAACAAAATAWAACAGGACAATTGCATTAAAATCTGAAGAGCAAGGACACAAYAGTTTGAGATGAGAATAATTATAAATACTTAAAGGCATAGAACTAAATGAAGATACTTTATGAGGTGATGCAAACTCATATTTTATACATCTATAAAACACAAGCATGAGATAAGCAGAAGACTTGTGACAGGCAAAAAAAAAGTATTCATCTCAAAGATCTGTATTATGATGGTATCATAGTCTCAACCTATTCACTAGGATCTTCTCATTCSCTTTGAACTGTATCAGTTGCTGAAAACTATTATCTTTAAATACCAGTTAATATTAGTGCTAAAACAACAATAATCAATATTATGTACATTTTAGGCAAATAATCAGGTTGTCTTTACCTTTCATTACAAGTAAATGTACTATCTTCTAGAAAGTAATATTCACAAATTRTTTTAGAGAAAAGTTACTGTACAAAGACACAGAGGCTAAAGTTCATAAAAAGACTAGTCAATACAATTAGACAGARGTTTGCTTGTAGTTCTTCGTATCCAAGACCTTCTTGCCACACATTGAGCAGATGCCTATAAGCACACAAAAAGTRTGTAAATTACTTTAAATCATTAAAATCTTTCTTCAAAAACACAGTTGCTATGTTTTTGTAAGGACCTTTTTCAAAAAATTGTTCAAACGAGCTCCCATTAGCCCTCTATCTGCATTTTCCCAACAGATATTCCAAACATAGAAGTAATAACTCCTAATATAAAATCAGTATTTGCAGCATGTGTAATACTTCCCCTTAAGAAAAYAAGCTATTTGGAGAGCATTATGATTCACAACACTGCCTGAAGTCTGTAATTTGCTGGAATGCCTGAAGARACCCAGGAAAGGCTCACATCTGACAAACAGGTAAAAATGGTGTACTGTTAACCGTTTTAAGTCCTGTAGCCAAATGAGTCCCAACATGCACAGAAAGCAGCAGGGCTAAGAAAACACAATCACCAACAAACTGACTGCTAAATGGGACATTARCAGGTTGAGAATTGAGAAAGTTCAGAATACATTTTCATAGAAMTAAGATATTTATAGAGCAAGAGTGACAAACAATGACCACCAAGAACACTTGAGAGTTGAAGGGAACACCAATGTCCCAAAGGACTTTGTCCTAAACTCTAAGAGTTTCAAGTCAAAAGACTAAAGCAGCAAAATGTTCACAAGTTTGGCAGAGAGGTGGATTGTCTCAATCTTTCCCTCTCCCTCCAAAGCAGAAAGGTGCTAAACCTTTTATCTGGTAAGACTACATCTCATTTTACACAACCATTCACCWGCAGACAAAAAATGTCAAGTGCCATCTACTCCTGCTCTCTCCTAATCATATGCTTTCATATACTGACATCATGACTGGACACATACCTACCAGTCCAGCAGGAATGAGACCAACAGGGAACATGCCACATGRTTTACTTTGGAGACCAAAATTCAGCCCACTAAATACTGACTTCAGGTCTAAACTGAGGAGTAAGTAACTTGAGATTGCCTCTCAGAGATATGCAACAGTTGAAGCACAGRGCTATATGACTGCATTTACTTCAAGCAACATGCCCCAATGACATCTTTGATGGTCAGAGCTAGAACCTAAAGCACTTAGTATTTAATCTGATGAAGAAGGTAAGTTCAGCCTAGAAGGATACACAAGCAGACAAAGATCCAATCCTGAAGCCCATCCAAGCCAGCCATAAATTTAAAAGAGAATGAAATTCTACCACATGTGATTCAGGCAGCCATCTGGTGAGCACCTAGCAGGCAACATTCCTGCAGCAAGCTGCTAAGCCACTGATCCAGTGACATAGCACAGATTTCTTGAAYGATTAATTTCATAAACAAAACTCACTACTGGTTAGCTGTAGCTGTATATCTAGAAATCAGTTCACTTCATGTGCTGTAAGATTCCTTAGCACTAAATCATATAACTGAGTTCATGATGCTTCTGTCCCATTCAGGAATTTTAGATTCAGCTATTGTAAAAGGAGGAGAGGAGAGAAGGGAGCAGAAAAAGGTCTGCAACAAGCCATTGAGTTTTACAAAATCTGGAGGTTTTTAAATTAAGGAAAATCAAACTTGTTAGATGACAGTTCTCTATGGAATTGCCAAGATTAGGCTCAGTTATTTTTCCAAATCTACTGTTCAGACACCAGAAACATTTTAAAAGAAACAGAATTACAGAACGACACAGGTTTAAAAGAATCTCCAYCAATCTCTAGTTCTGCTCCACTCAAAACATAACCAACTTGGGTAAGGCTGGCTCAGGACTTCTTCAAGTCATGCTCTGAATACCTCCTGTAAAGATTCCACAACCTCTGACGGTACCTGTTATTAGAATATTTGATCACTCCCACACTCTAAAATTGCTTTCCTTGTATGTAATTAGAATTTTCCATATTCTAACCTGTGTACACTATTTCTTATTCTATTACTGTGCACTTCAGAAGCATCTGACTCCATGTTCCCTGTGCCTTCCTATCAGTAGTTGAAAATAGCAATTAAATCTCATCTTAGCCTTCTCTTCATAATTACAAATTCAAGTGTTCTACTTCCGCTCTGGTTTCAAGCCAAACAGGGGTATTTTGGCAYTCAGTGAAACTCACCTTTTTTATAGGCACATCCTTGACAATAGTGGGATCCTGGCTGATGGACAGAACTCTTACAAATCCGACATATTGCAAATTTGTTCTTTCCATAAGGATCAAACCTGGGGAAAAAACAAAGTATTTTATTTACACACCTTGAAATAAAGTACTTCTTCTGCCTCGTCCTAAAAAATCTAAGCCAGAGGGCACAGTCAGAAACTCCAGCAAAAACTGTAATTAAAAAACTAGAAATACAAGAWTTATTTCTTACAGGCTGCACAAAGTATGCAGAAAAGCTCCTACTTTCCCCATTAAGAGACACGTCTTCCATCACAGACAAAAACTTCACAAAAGCAGAACTAAAATGTATTTTTTTTATTAAGATAYTACATGACTGTGACCTTAAACAACTTCCAGCAGCATCTTGCCCCCTGGGACAACAGAATGTACCTCAGACATGAAGGAAATGCTCAAGAGATTATTCTGGCAATATTAGCACAAAAAATACACATTCTCAGTTTCTCTCCTATAGAAACATCAAATCCTAGCAATTCCAGTGAGAATTGCAAAAAAATATTTGCCCACATTCCATGACTGAGCAGAAGGCACCCATGAAATATGTATGGATGCATTTTTACTGACTAATCAATTAACCATAATCCCCACAATTATTATTTATTAAGTGTATTTTGGACAAGTTTTGAGTTGTTGCCTAGGTATGCAGGAAACAGGCCTCAGCTAGTCTGCTACCTGATATTTATAGCCAGAATTAATATTAAATACTAACCTTGCCTTCTTTGAGGTCAATGCCTTGTTTTCATTTAATTTGCGACCGCCACTTTCTACAAAAAGAAAATCCATAACCAAATAAATTTCCCTGTTCCAAGCATACTTTAAAAAGTTTAGTTTAGAACTTTAACATATATGCAAATAAAGTCACAAAGAGAGATCAAACATAAATCATAGCACTAGAGGATAAGACAACAGAACACTTCATACTCCATTTAAATATTCTGTGTATTGTCCTTCCATACAGAAAGGGTAAGAAAAACCCCACCAAAACAGACAAGTTCAATACTGAGGAGTTCTGGGCAAATAAATTCCTAATGTATTAAATCAGCATGGGAGGAAAACTACAYGAATTAATATTAAACCTGATTAGTAATGTAAAGTTTTGGTCTTAAGATGGTAACATAGCTCAGGTGCCCAATGGCAAAACCAAGTTTTTAAACCTTCTGAGGTTACCTGTAGTGTTTCTTGCACCATCTTTCCATGTATCGGGAGTGATCACTGTTCCAAGTTTCTTCTCACCTACATAAGGAAACATTACAAAGGAAAAAAATTCAGAAGCACTGAGTCAATGAGGTTGGAAAAGACCGCTGAGATCATCGAGTCCAACCCGTGATCACCACCATGTAACTGACCATGGCACTGAGTGCCACATCCCGGCTTCCCTTAAACACCTCCAGGGATGGTGACTCCACCACCTCCCCAGGCAGCCCATTCCAATGTCTAATCACCCTGTCTAGAAAGAAATCCTAAATTCTTCCAAATGTCCAACGTGAACATTCCCTGCCCAGCTTAAAACTATGTCCTCTGGTCCTGCCACTTGTTGCCTGGGAGAAGAGACTGACCCTCGCCTGGCTACAGCCTCYTTTCGCGGAGTTGTAGGGAAATTAGGCCATCCCTGAGCCTCCTCCTCTCCAGACTAAACAACCCCAGCACCCTCGGCGGCTCCTCATCACACCTTGTGCTCCAGAGGCTTCCCTAGTTTCGCTGCCCTTCTCTGGATCTCCTCTAGCACCTCAGTGTCTTTCGTGYAGTGAGGGGCCGAGAACTGAACACAGCACTCGAGACGCGGCCCCACCAGAGCCGAGTTCAGGGGCAAGATCACCTCCCTCGTCATGCTGCCCACGCTATTGCTGATATAGGACAGAATAATTTAAACTATGCGCATCCATACGCTCCACAGGCRATGCTCAGGGGACAATGACAGCTCACACAAGGCCCTTCCGGGAACCGCCACCCGCGGCCCGCCCTGAGCAGCCCGGGATCCGCGGCAGCCGCTCAGCTCGGGGCAGCCCGGGACCCCCGCGGACAAGGCTGGACAGGGCCGGGCCCGGCGGGTCGGCCACAGCCCCCTGTACCCCCGTACTCACACTTGTCGCACACCATGGCGTCCCCTCCACCGCCGCTTCCGGCACCGCCCCGGAAGTGCCCTCAGCCGGGCCCCGCCCCCTTCCGCTGCCGGGCGGCGCCGCGCGCTCCGTGGTAAGATGCGCGAGCGGCCCCTGCGGCCCGCGCCGGGTTTGTTCTTTCAAACGAATTCTATTTTCCTGCCCCAAAAATCCTCACTTTCGCTTTCAGCTCTGGGCTCAGAGCTCTGCCCTGCGCGTCGCGGCTGGGGAAGATGCTGTGCTGCCGCGCGTGGGTGACGGGGCGGCGCTCGGTGTCTTGCAGGTGCCGCTGGCCCGGGCACCATGAGAGAGGCGGAGATCAGGAGGCTCCTGGCTGCCAACCTGCTCTGCGCCCTGTCCATCATCCTCACCGCCCTTGTCCCGRCTTTCTTCCTGGACGGATTCAGCGTTCTGGGGACGCACCTCACCTGGCTGTGTGTTTGTTCTGTTTGTGTTGCTACCCTTAATATAATCTTGCACTTAGTCCTTAAACCGAGTCAGTCTWCTAAGAGAAGTTCCTTTGCTCACAAGGTAAGATTTTTTTTAATTCTTAAATTGCTACCAGACAATACGGAGGGGGAAGCAAATTCTCTGAAATAGTCARATGAGAAAGAAGGCAATTTTTGGTGGTGAATTCTCATTTTCCATGAGTCAGCTGAGTGAAGCACCTTTTGAAACAATTTTTTTGGTATTGTAGTGCTGTTAAACTTCCTCKRCCTGTAAATAACCTGTTCAGGTGARTGGTTCTATGCCTTCATTTTTCTTGTCAATGCAATATTGTTTCTATGCCAAGAATTTGCATGATGGCAAAAACTGACAAAATTATATGGCACAGAACTCGTTTTGTAGTCCAGGTCTAATTCATTTTCCTGATAAGTGGATATGCCAAGAAGAAACCTCATCACACGTTTGTCTTGTATAGTTGTAAGTTTGTAATAACTTTAAAGGAAAAGAAATATTTTTTTTGAATCTGAGACATAAGAGAGAGACTTACATTTAAAGAATTAAAAAAATTAGAAAAGTATTAGAATGGCTACATTTCCTTGTATGATGAAATTTGCATAGAGGAGAATCTAAAGTTGGGAGAAACTTTTTGTAGTTACAGTTTGCGTAGGGATCATTAAAGGTATGAATCCCAATGAAGTACTTTWGATCAGAGTGATTTTGGAGCAGCACACAACTTGCCCAGCAGTGGGGGAACACCCCAGAGTTTTGAAGTCAGGTGGATAGTCTTGCACTCCTGACTTGCTGAGTCAGACAAGATGTAGTGCTCCAAGTGGTTCTTAAGCATTTAAGCGATCATCCCTGAGWGCAGTATCTTTGTATCCCTGAGAGCAGAAGCTTTGCAAAGCTTCTGTCTAGTTTTACTGACTGAGGAGGATGTGAAATGCACAAAGCCATGATGGAAAATAAGTTTTTTAACCATCTGCGATTTAAAAATGAAGCACACTTCATGTTCTAGGTGAGATTTCATCCCAGCCTAGCATAAGGAATAAATATAGAAAAATAAGGGTTCAAGGGAAGTTATGGATTTGCATTGCTGACCTGATCAGAGCAGACCTAAGCAGAACTGTTTATCGAGTGTGTTTGCTTCTACATGATATAGTGAGTACCCAGAAACTGTTAAGTTCATAGAAAATTGTGTTTTGCAGACATATAGAAAGTTACGGATATTTCTCAAATGTGTTCAGAATTTACAATACCAACTTCGAAATGTTTTAGTTAATGTAATTTTGATTCTCTGTGTTGCAGATTTTTTTATATTGTATGTTTTCTTGCTTTTAAATATTTTTTTCACCTTTTGTGAGAGTTGCCTTTTAATGAATGGACATGACAGATGTAAAACAGAAATGTAAAAATATCCAATAAAATTACTTCTGTTTGTCTTGTCATTTCTGGTTATATTTTTTGTATGTTTGCCCTGTTTAATGGGATGCATGAAAAAAGTTTAGATGGAGTGTGATCTTTCAAAATTAATTATTTAAAGTATTGATAAATAGAAAACTGTTTTGAAATGTGCCATGCTATTATATTGTGCTGTAGCTGAAATGAAAAAAGTAGTTAGAGTACAATGCTGTTGATAAGATATAGACTGTGTAGGTTACTTGTGTTGTTTTGAAACATTATTCTGATATTTCATTGCTCTTTTTTAGATATCCAGATTTCTAAAATGCTGTATATACTTTTTCATGTCTTGCATACTATTTCATGCGATTATTGTTCTTTATGGAGCACCTCTCATAGAGTAAGTCAAAAGACCCTCTCTTTCTCTAAACATTCTAAGGGGCAGCTCTCCTTGCAAATGTTGGTGTAAGATCTTGTGTATTTTCTGGTACAYTGGAATTTAAGGGATGAGCTCCTAGCTGGGGGAAGAGGAATGGCTGTTTTAGCTTTCTCTTGTTGGGTTTTTTTTGTTTTCTTGTCCAGGTTTTTTTTGGAAGCCAGTTCTTAMACAAGATTTCTGTAAATAAAAATCGTGAGACAGTTACAAACAACTTCTTTTACTTTAATATTGATGTTAAACATACAGGCACAAACATTTTTAAAGTTTCATTTAGTCATTTTCCCCATAAGATTCTAAACCACACAGCTTGCATATCTTTCATCCTTTTGATGTCAGTGTTTTAATTTTTATGAAAGTTTAAAAAAATATGTATGAAACAACCTGATTGCTTAAAATGTTTTTTAGAAATGTTACAGGGATTATTGGGGATTTCAAAAAATTACATTTCACTTGAGATAACAGCAGAACTCTTTCTAGCTTCTTTTGCTATTCTGCAGAGTAAGAAGAAAATGTTTTGTTCTCTACATGACATTTAAGAAGGCACACATACTTTCAGAAGTTTTCTTAGAGGGGTCTTCTTCTTCCTAAGTCTTGGAACTCTTAGAAAATGTAATATTCTTTTTTTTTGTAGGTCAGTGACTGAGACATTTTTGTTTGCAGTTCTTCTCTCTACRTTTACTACTTTACAGTGCTTGTGTTTGCTGGGACCAAACGTACAAGCGTGGATACGGGTATTTAGTAAAAATGGGTAAGTTCTAATCAAAAGTTTCTGATATTCCCTGAATAGAAATGGGCASAATTGATGTCAACAATATATAATAATTTTTTTTGTAATGAAAAGGAAACTTCCTGAATGATGAGTAGTTTTTTGTGTTTCTGATTACAGACATGTGAAATCTTTTTTTACAAAGAAAGATTTATTTGAAGATATTGACTGGAATTTTTGGTGTCCAGATGCTAAATCTCACTTTATACGTGTTTGTAGGAAGTAAAGTTTCCAAACTGTGCTGGAGTAAAAACATTGTACAGTTCCATATGATGGTTGTCAAATAAAGAGTAGCCCTGACCCTGAGCTGTGCATGGAGAATCATGAATGTGATCCAAAAGTACTACTTTTGGATWCAACTTTTAAAGMAGGAACAGGAMGCCAAAACAAGCACTGTTTTAARCTTRAATATAATATTGAAAATTAYWCATAGCTTAYTGTGTTCTTAAGTATGTAATCTTAMCCCATGTTCTTTTTCCAGTTTCAAAGGAAGTTGTTTTCAGTGTCAGAGTTTTCAAGCATTAATTTTTTCAAGAGTACCTTTAAAGTAAAACGAGCCTTTTAACTGCATTTTCACCTCCTGTGACAGCCATGGCATTAGCATGTATCACGAATAATGTATTTTTCAGAAGATTTCCATTTCTTCTGCCTTTTTTCATACCATAAATAATTGCATTGTCGAAAGACTGGGACACTGAAACATAAAGAGGCTTCACATATGCTTGAGATTGAATAAGATTTTAGTATTCACACCCTTTTAATAGTTTGTAAGGGTGTAGTCTCATCTCAAAAGAAGTKAAAAGTATTATGCTGCTGACCTGAGGAATTATTTTTGCTTTGCACTCCTGTAGAGAAGGACAAGTCTAGTCTTTAATACTAGTTTCAGGTATTGAATTTTGGKTTATCTCAGTTCTCAACTTACTGAAAAATACCTTGAGTCCTTATTCAAGCCATTTACTCTTGGGGTTTTTCAGTGGAAGGGTTCAATAGATTGTAATAAAAGCAAGGAGTTGTTAGCCAATATAAATCATTGCTGATTCACTTAGYCATCTGTGGAGGTTTTGCAACTGGAAATAATAGCTGAATTGAAGTWACAGATGTTGGACGATATCAGTCTGTCTTCGTGCCAGGTAGATTTTTGAATGCCTGTCAATTTCTTTCTTTCCCAGTCTAGATCTTTTGATCTAGACTGAATGCTATTTTAGCACAAKTATTGCATAGGAAACAGTTGTCTTGTTTTGATACTTTTGCTATGAGGACTTATATGTACTTCTTACTAGTCAGCTATGTGACATTATCTGAGTAACGTATCTATTATTAATGTTTGTTTACTTTGAATGAAAATAGACTAAAAGGAAATCATGCAGCAAATATTTTATGGATTGTAGCAAGCTGCTAATTTAAAAATAATCCTKTGTTTTTTCATTTGATCTCATGAAATTGGAGCATTTTAGGTCTGAGCATGAAATAAGTGTAGACAGGGTGTATTAAAAGGTTGTCTCCAACTTTACCATGTGGTATGAGGTGGGACTGATTAAATGGAAGAAAAGGATGAGCAGATAAAATAACAGAGCTGCTTGCCTTGAAAGTAGACTTAAGGGAATTGAATTGCACTGGAACAGTAAGCTTGAAATTCTGATTAGGCGTGTAGCCTAGTATAAAAGAGGAATGTGTTCTAAAAGTACCTGAGTGCAGTTTAGACTTAAGTAACCTTAAGCCTCTGTGCACATAGAATGCATGAGAAAAGTAAATGCATGTATTCTACATCACAAACCCTTCCATTCTTAGCAGGCTGTAAATAGGGCTCTTTTYATTAATTCTGCATTTGGAAAGGGGTGGGCCCATGGAACCAGCGTCTCTGGACTTGTTACTCTGAYATCTAGAGTTGTGACTGAAGTCAGTGTCATGACCTTGATCATATGCTGTCATGTGCATCTGTGAGCAGTTAGAGGGGAGTAAAAACTATAGAAAGGGTTATCAGCATTAGTGGAAGCACGTGGCTGTTAGTGTAACATAGCTGAAATAGCCTCCTGCATAAAAGACTCTTAAGAAATCAGTTCTCAATTGCTGATTTTTTTTAACTTTTTTTTCCCTCCTTTTGGAGACTCTTTATTTCAAATCATTGCTCTGAGAAATTATGTTGAATTTTCTGGTGTAATGGCAATTATAAGGTGTCACCAGGGTAGAAAACAGATTTTATTTGGATAGTGCCAAAAATAGTATAAAAGCATGACATTAGGGCTCCTTCCAGTTTTCATTATGCCTGTTTTATCTCTTTGTTTATGAACTACATACCCTTAGAGACTTGAAATGTCCCTTGTAAATGCAGGCATCTTCACACATCAAGGGCTGCTTAGCATTTAGTCCTGCTGCAGCCAAGAATTTCAAATCTTATCTAGGAAGGAGTAGATTATTTTATGTCAGCTAACCTCTTAATTCAAACCTTATTTAATACTGAACTGAATGCATTGTATTATTTTTAAAGGGTTTTAATAATTGTTTTAGGCTTCAAAAGACCTTCTGCCACTGGTGTTCATTTACTATTTTAAACATTGCTAGTTTTGTCTGTGGAATTATCTTAGTTTAAAAGAAACCTGGAAAATGCAAATGAGAAGTTTGTATGGGGGTTTAAAGAATACCTATTAAAATTCCAATAGGAGTCATTCCATGAAGAAAAGTGACTAATTGAAACACTGCTCCTTCAGGATAATGCTGGAGGACAAGTCAAGTTGTCTTTGAGTAGCCAGTCTATGCTGCAGAGTGGTTCAATTAGCAGCTGAAATAGTTGCCAAACTGCCAATGGCTGTTTTTCACTTGGGCACTGTGCCTTGCTAATTCTGTTGTTTTGCTTTTGGACTCAGTCTGATATCTCCATATGGTACAGCAGTCTCTGGTGAATCTGCTACAGACAGAAGATGACTTATGAGGTATAACTGTACCTCARTCAGTCCTTGGTGCATTCTGTTGTCTCTTTCACTGCTTTAAGGCTGTAGTGAATGTTCTCTTCCTTGTTCTGCCTAACAGCTCTCTGCTCAATTATTCAGCTTCTAATATTCACAAGAAATAAAAATAATAGAAATAAAATAAAAAAATAGAAATAGAATAAAAGAAAAAATAATTCACAAGAATTTTCTGTGTGCAGACTCCTAAACACTTTTGCATTTACATCAGGACTTTCCAAGAAAAAAATCACAAACTGGTACTATTGTGAACTGGAGAATTCTAAGTTAAAGAGATTGTGTTATTGTAGAAGAAACAGTTCTGCTCAAAATGTCAGCCTTGCACTGTCAGTACTGTAGTCTGCAAGAACTTTTTTTGCAAACATTGAAAAATGTTTGCTTTAAACTTATGAGCTGTTTGGTCAATAACCAATTCAGCAGTATGTGCTCAGAAGTGAAGTCAGACATTTTAGACTCCTCAAAACCAAGTGTTCATGTCATGCAACCTAAACAGCACTTAAAAAGTTCAGAGTTTACTATGCATCTAATTTTTGAGCCATAAAAATGCACATACTTTTTTGTCTGTTAGCTGAAGCTAGCTGTGTGTTTATAATCTGAGATGTAGCAAACTTAAAACTCAGATCTCCTGCTGTACTGATTTGGAGCAGGGTTTCCARCCTGGTTCTCCTGTCTTGGATCTGTGCCCTACTGTGTTCTGAACTKCTGTGGCTCTTGGTTCTTAGTTGGTACCAAGTACCCAAATGTTCATGGCCTGAGCAAAGTAGTGCAATCAGTTGGTACATTGATGATAGTAAGTGTTCATCTAATAACAGAAATCCTGCTTTTCTAAACCTTATAAAGTCAGTAGTGATAGAAGGCTATAAACTGAGAGTAATTTAACATCTCTTACAGACAGTATTTGCCATGACTAGCAGTGCAAGTGTTCTTAAGTGTGGGAAAAATTAATGCTTCAGCCAGCATACTTGAACTTATACAATGTGTACTTACACCAACTTGCAATGTTTCTTTTTGGTTGATGGAATTGTTTTGAAATATTCTCATAGTGTCTTACATTTTAAATTTCAAATTGTTGTAGTCATYAAAAGTGCCTACACCACAGAGTCCTTTGTGACTCCGCTTGTGCTTTTCTGTACAATCCCACAGTACCCTTTCATGTCCACCTCTCCCTGCAATGCACACAGTTACCATTGAGATAGATTTATATGCTCAGTCTAGCAGTGTTTCAAGCTCAATAGGAGTATTTCYAGGTAAAATAAATAGGCTTTTGCAGTCAACATCTCAAGAAARAAAAAGATCTGAAAGTGTGGTGTGAAAAGATTGTAATTATAGCTAAAATATGCAGCTTACATTTTACTTATAGTTTGTATGTTTTGGGAGAAACCTGCATGGTATTTATCAAATATATGAATTTTTACATGTGTTCATAGCCTCAAAAATCTTGGGATTTTTGTTCTGCCATGGTAGCTTCTGCTGCTGTTGAAAACTTGTAACATGTTTTACAGAGCTATGTCCATCTGGGAAAGCAGTCTACAGATTACTACTGTGTGCAGTATACTTGGAGCTTGGTTTGGAGCATTTCCTATCCCTCTTGATTGGGATCGGCCTTGGCAGGTTAGTATGTACAAATGTAAAAAATATTCATTTTCTGGAGATGCACGCTACACAAAATTGCTCTGAAGCTGTATAGGTATATTGGACTAAGTGATAAAGTGTTCCTACAAAGTTATGCCAGACTTTTAAAAAAACTCACTGGAAGCATCTGTGCTTATGGTGTAAGGAAGTAAAATGCATTATTTTGACTTCCAGTTTCAACAGCTTCTCTGTTACAGACTTGTGAGTGTCTGTGGCATGCAAATTTTATATTGAAATAGAGCTCTAAGGATTTGGACAGGAAGAATTTAGACAAGCTGGAGGAGAAATTTGAAATAATGAAGATGGCTTCAAGTTTGCCTTCAGTCTAGTAGCTTTTATCGTTCATGGGTATGGAACCCAGGCAAGATCTGAAAAAAAAATTGTAGATCTTACTGTGGATTTAGAACTAATCAGAACCCAATCAAAACCAAATTACTTCTAGACATCTGCATGAGTAAAGTATTAAGCTGCCATGCTTCTGACATCAGCTGTTTCTCGTATTAGCCTAAAAACAGAGAGCTTGAGGATTACAATTTTGGATTTACCCTTTTTCTGTCCAAAAATGGACTCAAGTGAAACAGCTTAGTCTTTGAACTCAAGACCAGCTTTTGAGRTAAAAAGAGGTTTCATTAATGATTGTTTTCCTTTTTGTATTTTAACCTTTGTGCTGTAAACATTTTTTTTAAAATCTGTAGTGGAAATGGTTCTGCCTTAAAGCAGAAAATGTGGTTTAAATCTTACTACTTGGGCGAGACAAAAGTGGTATTCAAGCAAAAAGTTAAGCACTGTGTCCTGAATGAGCATATTTTCCACTTAATCAGGATTTTAGCTTTTGATCAAATCTGGTCTACACTTCAAACTTGGACAGTTTGAGAATGTCTACAGTCAACTTTTAAATTGACAAATCATTCAGACAGGGGAGAACGTAAAGCTGCTTTTGTGAAGTCTGGTTTAATTCATAGAAACGGCTTCAAATAAAAATGGTCTGTAGTCACTCAGCTGAAGCAAACAAGACTGAGGGGAGTACTGAGAATGTTGGAATCCGAGTAGACGATTAAATAAAGCTGTCTGCACTATTCTGTAAGATACTTGTCTGAATTGTCACRCTTATACCTATGGCAGTTCTGCTGTCAGTTTGCTGCTTTGTGTCCTTCAAAAAAAAAAACATTGGTTTCATCGTTTTGCCAATCTGTGTTCCTGCCCTTGGCTGTCTGCATTGGGACTAGCATATTTTCCTGCAATGTTAATAGAAGAACTGAAAAATTACCTGGTAGTCATTCCTTTACCTGGATCTTACCTAGTCAGAAAATCAGATGTCAGTGTCCTCTGTACCTTTCACTAAAATACGTTTTTACTTCGAAGTGCTTCAGGGTTCTGTGGAGTAAATCTGATGATGAATTTCATTACAAGAGTTCCAATTCATATGCTGATAGTTAAAGCCCAAATGCTACTTCATCCTGAGTTATTTACAAACCAAAGGAAACATACTGCTTCTTTATACATACCTCTTGTGACATGCAACGAAGTAAGATAAATACAGATGTCTCACAAAATCTTCACTTTATTTGCCATGTTTACGTTCGAAAAATATTGTATACAGGGGGTATTCAGATTAGTGTGCCTCTCTRTCCTTAAAAATAATAATGTTAATTGCATTTTTTAAGCATACAACTTTTATGCTAAGTAAATATTACTTAACAGGAACAGAATATTGTTTCAGAAATAAACTTAACATTATCTGAATAATGTTTGAGAATGGAAATGAAAAATATATAAAGTATTTCTGTTAGAAGTACAAAATATATTGCTGAAAGTCACTTTGTGTCCTGATGATTTATTGTTTTTCATTATTCTGTTGTTGTTTATAAAGAAACTTTTAAACATGCCATGTTACTCCTCTACTAGCTTTAACAAAAATTTTTTAACTATGCARAACAGTTGGTAAGGGACACCTAGTCTGTTTTTCTTGGTTGTAGGTCTGCAGAATTCAACCTCAGATAAGGGTAAAGATAATTGTCTTACAGGAATGCAGGTTAGGTGCTACAATAGTTACATTTCTGTATTAAAAACAAAAAAACCCAAACCAACAAACTTTCCAAGACTTGTTCTGCCAGGCATGTTTCAGTTAGACTGGTAGATTAATTTTACCAGTGTTTTGAGATTGCTATCTAATTTTTCAGCACTTTTAAAAATTGTTTGCAACACTTAATTGTGATCATTTAAACAAGGCTATGCTAGACAATTTAAAGAGTTGTACATCCATCTCCAGTTGCCCATAGCCCTCTGAAGGAAGCATGATGGTTATATACAGGTTACAGTTAACTAGGACAGTTCTACAAATAAATAGTAAATAACTTCCTTTGTTACAGTTGCTTATTTTTTCCAGATTGCCTTTTTCAAGTTGATGGTGTACTTTTAATAACCACATGTAATTAGGATCCTGGCTTCACAKGTCACTGAGAAGTGACACCATCAGTGAAACAGAAGGGCATGATTTAGGAGTTACTAGATGCATCCTTTCTCYACTCAGCCTGAGGTAATTTAGTTGCAGAACAAGACGGTATAGTTAAAGACCACAACTTTATCAACACACTTTGTATGTGGTGGAACTGTTATTCCAGAAATGGCATTTGCCACTGACAACAACTGGATTTTGCACAYCGTGGAGTTCCTGGGTTTACTGCATGTTTTGATAACACACTTTTAAAACATGTCTCTGGGTTTGTTGTATATGCCTGCCCACCCATACAATTTTGGTGTATTTTGTAGCGTAATTTTGATCTGCAGTACCTGTTACTAGTGGTAAAAAGTGACTTTGAAACAATATTCTGCTTACAGTGTTATCATTAGGTAGAAGTAAAATTGCTGTATTCCTACTTCATAGTGAATACTGCAAACATAATAGGTAGTGCTGATATAACTCACCTGAGTTGACTGGCTGCTATGTAGTTTAGCCAATATGACTGCAAATATTAGCCTTAGATAYGTCTCAGACATTTGTAGCCTGAAAAATAATCTGGAGAATCTTGGGTACAGTTCTTGGTGCTTACTCAAGTAAGTTGAAATAGGACTATAAACTTTCACACTACTTTGTTTCTTCTTAACACAGTTCAGAGAGTTTCCTTCTTGTATTTCTTTTTGGATCTAGTACCTACTATGAAAATTTTATTATAAAAGAATTGCTTAATGTGAGAAAGAGGGATAATACACAGTTGGAGTTGTTTTAAACAGAGGTAGGAGCTTGTTCCACTTTAGTGTGGTTATCATTGTTTATTTAATAATGTGTTTTCTCAGTGTAAACCTTATTTATGAGATCAAAGGCAGTTATGCTTGCTGTAACTTTAGAACACAAATCCATGAAACCAACTTCTAGTTACAAATGCCAGAAAAAAACCTCACACTTTCTTCTAAGTGTGTGCTTGTCAACACACACATTCTGTACAGTGTGATAAGACACTTGTAGTTAACATGTGCATGCAACCAAAATAGATTAAAGGCATGTACTGAAGTTTTAAAGACAGTACAAACTAAACAATCAGGAATTTAAGGCTTGTTAGAAACAGGGAGGGAAAATAATTGTGCTCGTTTATTCAGTTTTAAAATGAAACAAAAATTATTACATAGCCTTCTAATTGACAGTCAGAAATGGGTCTTTTGAAACACTAAGCATACAAAATACTGTGTTTAGGAATATGAGAAAAGCACTCTTAAATTTACTAAAAAKAAAAATAAGTACAGTAGATTGCCCCACTGTATTTGCATTTGTATAATGAGAGTTCCAGCAGGCAGCTGCTTGCTTCATAATATCTTAAAAACCTTCATGTTGCTTCTCTGGTCTATGGGAATCTGACCTTTATGTTCTTGTCAATGTCTATATAATCCCCGTTGCATAGGATGCAAGTTACAACCTTGTAGTARGTGACAAAACTGTCATGCAGTCAGAATTCTGGTTTAACTAGCTACATGCACAGTCCAGCAGAGCTAGATACCTTGCTGGGATCCTGCAGCATGCTCTGCTTTCCATGCAATATGCTAAGCATTCTCGCATCATAGAATCWTAGGTGTTCTAAAGAGCGCTGAGGAAACTAGCACATTTGTCTCCTGAAAGGTTAGCAATTCCTGTTTTGAGTCATTATTCTTAAAATGAGTTCTAATATATACTAAAAACCTTGCAGTTCTGCAGTGTCTATTTAGCTAGCCTACAGAAGTCCTAACACTGCTGCCAGATGAAAAGGCAAAAAGAAAATTTAAACAAATAGCAGAAGTCAGAATCATTCTGGCTCGTGCTCTGTCCCATTAAATGCTAATTTTGTTCTTGTTAAGATTTGTTTTTTCCAAGCTGCTGTTCAGGTTCCTACASATAGTTAAAATTACTCTTTTATCATGCATTTGATATGTAAACTGATTCTTCTCATATTAGGCTGTAAGAATGGTAGCTGATGCTTCCCAGCTGCTGAGACAGATMAGGCAGTTCATGACAATTTCATGAAAAATGTTCTGTTCTATCTCTTATACTCCCCACACTTTTCTCTCCRCATCAGCCTTTTTTCCCTTCAGCAAAAATGCAGCTAGGCCATTGGCCTAACATCTTATTCCCCTGCTGCTGACCCAGCCCAGCCATGTCATCAGTGCTGGGGTAGGATGTGTCAACTTCCTCAAGGCAGAAGGGAACATGAAGTAAGAGGAACTGAGCTGAAAAGTTCTCAGGCGATGAGAGAGAGGTGTGTATTGTAAGTTGCATATTCAAGCAAGCAGAATGGAATCTCTTGGAACAGGCAGACAGATATTTGCTGCTTAGATTTTTATCACTTACAGGCAGTTCATACCAAGTCAAGGACGCTAAACCAAGTTTGAGATAACATGAAAGACAGGGCAAAARCAGGCCAATCGAGTAAGTCAAAGTCATTTTAAAAAGTCCAAAAGAAAGCAATTTGGTCTCAGAAAAATGAGGCCAGCAGCTAGTACAAAATACAGCAACCCACTTCCACAGAAAGAAGCAACCCATTTTCATAGTCAAAAAGCATATGAAAGTGTTATTATTTTAGTGCAGCTGATGTGCTTAAGAGATGTATCTTAATCTGTCTTTGATAMCTTGCTGCTTTAGATACACCCATGGGTGCCTCAGGCTATATGTAGCCTAAAAGCCACCGGTCAAGAATAAAAGGTGCCAAACTGGTATTGTTACCTGTTTGTTAGGGGGTTTTGCCCTGTCTTGAGGGTTAGAGGAACTGGCACAAGGACAGCAATGCTYTTAAGTCCAGGCTTTTAACTGCTGTGCTTAGGGAGTTTTCAAAACRCCAATCAGACTGCCTTCAGAACTGCTTTGGGCTGTCCAAGCAGCAAAAGAAGAAAAAGTGCCTGGCCTAGTACCCCTCTGTTCCATGTCACTAGAAGCATGAGGTGGTGTCTCTTTCTGTCTTATTCATAGACAGGGAGATGGGAGTGTTTATGGTTTCTTCCACTTGTTCCTATCTTTGCCACATGCTCTTTGTGAGTGTTCAGAGGTCAGAGACTCACCTGTAGCAACAGAACCTGAAACTTTTGTAAGGTAACACTGATTTTTAAAAAGCAAAGCAAAAATTGAATGTTTTAGAAGACATACAGAGGAATAATTAACATTAAAAATTACACAGCTATTGAAAAACCACGTCCCAAGTTRCAGTTCAGTCAGGTGAAGGAGGCTACAAAAATCATCAGAGACCTTTTTAATCATACCAATAATCAACCACTRTACACAAAATAGCACAATATACAGGGTCATTGGGTCATCAGGGATATTCACTCTACTTTTGGGAATATGATCARTTCAGAGTCCATGACCTACCTATACTTCTGAAAAGCAAATAGGCAACTACAAATTCACCTAATGTAGGTAAAAATTTAATGAAGGGATTGATCATTGATCACTCAGCAAATTTGATGTAAAAGCACCTCCGAGTTAAGAAGCCTGTATCCATAGTTTYGTGGAGTGACACTTGATTTCATCAGTGGATAAGAAAGTATAACTTGTGCTCCAGCTGAATGTTACTGAGTGAATGGAAGAGTTTCAGGGACTTTTTTATTGTTTTTGTCCTTTAGACGTGTGTAATATGCAAAATGCTAGAAATAATTACATTTCATTTAAAAGTTGAAATCCACCTGAAGTGTAAGTTTAGCCAAGGCCACAAACTTAAGTGAGTTTGAAATATATGTAGTATCTTACCATGCCAAAGCATCTCAAGGCTTTTTATAGATGATCCACAATACAAATTAATGAATGAAAACAAGCAAATCTTTGGCTTGAGAGGCAACTGCTGAAATACACAGCAACAAAAATAAGCAGCAGAGACAGAATGTATGAAAATGAAAGTATGAAACAAGGTCAATAAAGAGTACCTAAGGCACCTTGTTTAATAGTCATCTTTGCTACACTCCTTAAGACCTCCAAATAACATATAAAGCTGTAAATGCTAAGGAATGTGAAGATGAAACAGCTGAGGAGATTGAAGATGAAAGAGCAGAAGACAAAATACATTACTCTTATTCATAGTTAAAAGTCCCATAATCAAAGGATGTGAATAAAGATATTCTTTTAAGTGATAATGAAGTAAAGAGAAGAATCAGAGCTAGGAAAATGAATTAAAGGAGGAACCAGTACCATTAAGAGTTCATTTGATATGAATTGCAAGTCAAAGTGAAGTAGAAAAGAAGGCTGGAGATTGGGATATTTTCTCTATTGTCTAGTGCATTTCTCAGTCTCAAGTACTGTAGAGGGGGGGAATATCCCCCTGAATTTAAAAAAATAAAAGAATGGAAGAGTCCTGTCTGTAAATGCTTTAGGAATATGTATTGTACAGCAGGAATTGCAAAACTGTCCTTGCAAAAAAAGAAAAATTTAAAGGAGAATTTTGAAGTGGCATGGGAATTCTGTTTATTCTACAACAAATATTTTAAYCACTAACTTAGTTACTGAGACTTTCATCAAATGCAGTATGCAGGGGACTGGTAATATAAGCTACATCTGATGACAGACTGGTTWAGTCTTGGTTTGGCCACTCCTCCCTGCAAATCAATACCAATTTTAAGAAAAAGGGCAGGGGAGAATTACATTGCTACTCTGGCTCAGTACAAGATGGTTTGTTCAAGTAAGTCGGCTCTATTGAGCTGGCTCCCTGTTCTTATGTGAGAAAATAAAGCTTATAATTAAAGCTCTCTTTGACATAACTGGCTTACTATGAGTTCAGTGATCTGGGTACAAGATTTCAGTCAGTTTTCAAATTTATGTTCCCTCCCTACTTCAGCCAGAGGGGATTTTATCCTTTTACCTACTTTTCAATAAAAAAAGCCAACAAACATCTATCCATCTCAGTCTCTGGCCTTATTTGAATACTAGTTCATCTATACACACCTGAAAGTTTCAAAACYCCATGAGAGATTGAAAGGAAAAATTACTTAGAAATCTGTAGGTATCCAAATGTATGCAGCAGAGTAGGAAGTTAGGGTCAGCTGAATGCTTTGGGGGATATAAATACTTCTTAGGGTTTTTTTTCACACAGTTTTTGGACTATCAAACTAAAGTCTGCAATAGCCAGAAGCTTGCTTACATTTTAATGCATAATTATTAAAAACTGTACAACAGCATTTAGTGTTCATGAAGATGATTGTTACGCTTTTGGCATTTTTAGGAAAGCATGTCAAGCTTTAAAGTAGAATAAGACCACTGTCTTTCAGTACCTAGACTTTGTGCTCATGAAGTACAAAAAACCACAGATATCTTCCTCATTGTCTGCTTTTACCTTGTGGTCTCCCCTCAGGTATGGCCCATTTCCTGTTCCCTCGGAGCTACCTTTGGCTATATGGCTGGTCTGATTATTGCACCTCTGTGGATACACTGGAACCGGAAGCAGCTTACATACAAAAGCAGATAACTGGAGCAAAGAGAGACAAGGTATTTCTTTGTGCAGATTCCATACAGACTGTGCAAAAGTTGGGTTTTTTAAGATATATATATATATATATATATATAGTCAAAGCAGAAGACTGTCCAAATTCAGTTAGAGTATTTCAGGCCAAGCATCTCCACTCAATAAAATCGCACAGATGCCATTTCAGCATGGTGCAGTTTTTGCTTCCTCTAGTGTAACCCTGAGAGACTGTACCTTCCAGTCTGAATAAAATATTTGTAACAGATGTGGTGGCTTCTTATTGTAAGTTCGTTGAGTTTGATTTTATTCCTCTGGATTTCACTGGTTGTAGAAGGCAGAATCGAAGGTTTCGCTTTCAAACCTGTAACAAGTTCGCTATGTACTTAATGCATTGTATTTAAAATCAGTAGAATTTCACAGTAAGCCTGGCCATTGTCAAATGTCTCTCACGTGATCAAACAGCAGTTTATGCATCTTGAGCCTATTCTTTTCTTCACCGTGTGTTTCTTTGGAGTTAGAATGGCTATAATAGCTTCATCAAAAACGGTCTTCAGTCCTTTCTGTGTTAAAGCTGAACACTCCACATAGCAGTAGGCTCCTATCTGTCAAGAAAATAAGTTAATTCAATAGCAGTATGTCTCAGCTGTTCCAATTCCATCTGTGCACTTCTGCTTTCTTTTTCCCCTTGCATGACAACATTACAACGTATGGCTGCAATCTAAAAAAGTTACCTGCATGTGGACCCCACTGTAGGAGAAAGTAAGATTTGTCTTTTGGCCAAAGATCTGGAAGGTATTTAAGTTGGTTGGTTTATAAAGGAAACAACTAAGTTCTTTAGATTGGCCGTGGCAGGGCTAAGATATGTTTGACAATTAAAGAGCAAAAAAAGAATTACATGGAGAATTTGTGTTTCAAAAATAAGGCTCTTTAAGTGTCCTGATAAGCATTACCCACACTGTAGTTAAAACGGTAGTATAACATTCTCAAGTAATTTCTAATAGATGCTTCCAACATTTTGCTTGAGCAGGAGAGGTCCCTTCCAAACTCAATCAATCTGTGGATTTTTAAAAATTATCTTTGGCTAATATTTATATAGCTTATATAGCTTTTACACTTTTCTACACTGAAAATTAGAACTATTACTTGCAAGAAACTGTAATTACACAGGTCTGCTTGTTACCTCTATTCATTAGTGTAAGTATTGTTAACTGGGAACCAGTCAAAAGGTTTCATATGTGGACTGCTAAAAGATATATGMGAAGTGGTAAAGGAAGACAAAGTCAAGTAGAAGTAGGGGTGGTGGTGTTGGTGGTGGTATTCTTCATTACTTGATGTCATTTAGGAGTCATTTACCTCTTTTGCTAACTTCTGTCCTTGCTCCACAGATACGGGCTTCTCTTTCATATCATTCAGTCTTGCCAGAGTTTTTGGGTCATCACGGAGATCAATCTAGCAAGAAAGATTGCAGTCATGCTGGAATACTTTCTCTAAGAGCAAGCAATACGATACCCTCAATTTAAAGAGAAATTATTTAATGGAATATTATGTCTATAAAAATGGAGTTATGTCATGATTCAGATTGTGGACCCTTCCTGATTCAAAAGCCCTAAATTTAAACTGTGAACCTTTAATCCAGAAGGAACAAACATTTATTCTGTAACTCAGTGCTTCAATTAGATGTGATTATCTTAAAATACTAAAATATATAACTTGCAGTGACAGAAAGATTAACCCAAATGTAATACCAGTGTGTAGGTCACTTTATAAATGAAGTCCAGTCCATTGCCTACAAAAAGCAAGAGGAAATTCTCACATCTCCCCTTGCTCCTTTGCTTCAGCAAATATTGCATGTGACTAATAGTTGTAGACCCAAGTCATTCCRGTAACATGGGCATGAGCAGACAGTTTTATTCTGTAAATCCCATGACTTTTTAGGAAAGTCACATGGGAGATATGCAGCCAATCTTGCCACTCGTTTACAATGGACATAATTTTTTTTAATAAAATGGAGAGAGCTTATTAGAGAACAACATGTCTCAGTTTTTCTGCCACCTGAAGAGGTTGTTTCTCCAAAGGCAGCAGGAGGTCGTCCTCAGGTCCTGTTGGGCCTGAACTTCAGCCCAGAGAAGAGGCACCATAAAATTACCCTGATTGTTTAAATWAAGTAGAACAGAACCAAATATACCTGTGTTCCTACTAGTAAAAAAGGAACATTAGGTGCATATTCCTTCAACTCCGGTACCCACTCTTCCTTCACATTTTGAAATGAAGCAGGGTTTACCACTGAGAAGCAGATAAGGAAGACATCGGTCATAGGGTAAGATAAAGGTCTCAGACGATCATAGTCTTCCTAAGGAAGAAAAAGTCTGTTATCTGCAATATTAAATTGTTGCCTGTATTTTGTTAATTTTAACAGTTATATTCAGAAACGGTATTMATCTTACATGAATGTTGTTGAGACAAACTTTCTGAATGTTTACAACTATTCCAGGTTAGTCTGTGTGGATGTTAGAGCAAAATCTACACGTGAAGGTAACTATATGTGAATATAAATATTTTGAAAAATGTCTTAATGCTGATGGAAACTTCTCTATGAGGATATACAGAGATCACCATTTAAAAATTTCCTTTGCTTAAGGAAAAAAAACAGGAGGCTTAGGTTCAAACATACTTGCAGATTGAAATATTTTTAGTATTTGTTAGTAGAGAAATAAGCAGATGTGACTGCTGTAGARTCATCCAGGTTATACAAAACTAGGCTGGATTAAGGCTGTTCGGTGCACTTAAATGTTCTATTTTGGTTCATACATAGAGGTGATATTTAAAGCCCTCAGAATTTTCTTTGTCTCTTAGAAACCTTACAGTCCTGTTGCTAGTGATCAGGGCAGTAGGAAAGATCAGTCTTTTGTCTAGACTGTGCTTTCTGTTAGCAAGTCCAGGAAAGGAAGAGAAGGAACATAAATTCAGGATCAAGAACACTGTCAGGGTAATATTAATGCCTTTGTTTGTTTGTTTCTTGGGGATGTGGGGGTGGGGGGGGGAGAAGTTAGTGTGAAAAGATTATTTAGGGCATTTAGAACCAGAGCATTTAATGCCTGAGTCCTACTGCCAGGGCATGTAATACTGTGGCAAGACAAGTATCTGGGAACGTTGCCCCTTTTGTTCTTAGCAAGGGACAAAGTGGATTTTTGTCCTATATTTTAGCTGATAGCTGGAGGGAACATGCCCCATCTTCTCTCCGCAAGGCTTCCTTTGGTCTTTGGAAGTGAACCAATGCCTTTCCATTCCTACCGTAGTGTTTTGGTGGTTTTTGTAACATAGATAACTGAGACTGAGCCCAGGAATTGCAGAGACACTGACAAATGCTGGATTTATGCCTGTCACAGTAAACACCAGTTTATTACAGCTGCTGCAGCAGTCTCCCTCTTCCCCATGTAAACTCCCTATCTTAATTAAATCTCACAAATATTGGAATTATTTGTTCATTAAACAYAGAGACAGAAATGTAATTCAACTCCATTTTTGAAATGAGCCAGAAAATTAAATTTTTGTTTCCTTGGCAACAGTCACATTACCAGATTATTAACATACAGTMACACCCTCAAAAACGCCCTTCATTGATTTGTTAGGTTTTAAACATGGTCACTAGAATTTCAGAAAAACTCTGAGAAGTTCCTCACAACAGTTTCTGCTAGGCATATTTTGCCATTTGGATGTCAACAGCKATGGGAAGAGAGCTGTTATTGTCATCATGAACTGGAGGAAATASAAGCACAGAGAGAGTTTCTGCAGAATCGGAGGGGCTGACCATTATTTGTCATACACTTGTGCCATTTTGAGTGTCCGCTCTACTGCCAGTTTTGTACACAGGCTTGTCAATTAGCTAGAGCATATCTAATTGTGAACATGGCTTCCCAATTTCACAACCACAGTAACTGACACTGCTGTGAAACTACAACATTGACAGGCCTTTTCCCTGCCAGTGTCAGGCTTTTGCCCTGATGCAGAATTAAAAATGGTAACCCTGCCTTCCAAATCTGTGGATGTTCATCATAGAAAGCAGAAATAACTTCAAGAACATCCACACAGRAAGTTGAAACTCTTCAACATTCAGTTGCTTTTTGGGCATTTGTGTTTTGGTATTTTGCGTTTCRCTTCTACTACTGAATATAGTTAGATCCTGCTCAGGGTTGCACTGTTTCCTGGGGTGGAGAKCAAAATCTAAAAGAAGATTCCCAACTGCCAATTACTCTGTTCCCTGGAGTACAAAATCTGCATGAAAGAACACAGTGGGTCCGTCAGTTGCTCTCAAATCCAGCTCTAAATCATATGTGGGGTATTAGCGAATAGGCTGTGTTTTAAAAAAAAAATCTAGTTTAAAGCTGTAATTTGTCCCTACCACCAAAGAGCTTCCATCCCTATACTCTGTATTTTCTAAAAATCTCATCTGGATTAGGATAACTRGAATACTGCCTGCACTAAATGCTGGAATGGAGAAAGCTTTTCACTGTCACCAGAAATTACTGTTAGTCCATTAACCTTAAAATAGCTCTTTAGTTAATCCATTTCAAATTACAGATGGACCTTTTATTCATAGCAAATATTAATCATTTTCTTAAAGCCAGTCTCAGGTCCTGCTCCTGCRTTTGTTTATGTGCCTTTTGATTTATGTGCTTTCCCATCTGTGCTGGGCAAGCTGTGGGTCCATCCAGCGTAATTAATTAAGAAGTTAAACTGAAGGCAAGTACAGTGTGATTGGATACATCATGTACCATGGCCAAAGATGTRTGTGGTATTTGCTACAGGGGCTTCACTGCATTTATGCTTCCTTAAATTATCAGAGAATTTGGCTATACCCACCAGTCCTGCCGTTTGAAACATGTCAGTGCTATCCGGCTCTCCTTTAAACCTTGTCKGTGCTCTGAACATCAGGTCTGTATTGATACTAATACTGGCAGTAGTTCCAGCAAAGCCTCCCACCACATRATTGGACTGGTCCTGAGTCATCCTTAGAGAAATCCTGCTTAAATTTTGGYAGCATCTGGAGGCTATCTGTGCTTAAAGACACTTTCTACCTCCCAAGAGCACCTCAAAAACAGCAAGAAAACTTGTAAACTTTCTCTGATGTATGAGGGCTACMTAACTGCTGCAATTGGTAGAAGAACCTGAAGTACCAAATTAATTAATATTAGAGAAGCCTGGAAAAATCTTATTGCTTCAACTATAATTTATTTCCTGAATCTACTGTGAGGGAAAGAAATGTGCTTAATTCCAAAATTAAATGCAATGTAAAATGGATTATACTAGCCAGTCAACATAAATTCCAATTTGAGTGCATGTACACACCACACTGTACAGTGATTAGACTAACTGGACAGTCTGATTGGGGGAGGTACTGCATACATATTTGGGCTTTAAAAATAGTTAAGGAAATTAACAGGAATATTTTAAGATTGTGAATAAGATGGGCAAGAAAGCCACTAAGGATTGATAGACTCAAAAACTCTGGGCTATAATAGTGAAACAGTTCATTTTCTAACATACTCTGGACTTCAAAAAAAATTGTTTGCTGAACCAGGTCAATACAGATAGAAAATACGAGGGCTGTAGTAACTTCAAAATTGAACTCAAGAATGCAGGCTTAATTAGTATTATATGGAGTTGTGATTCCTCTAGAATGCAACACTGCAGCAGGGCTGTTCCCTAGTATCCCTGTGGAAAGCCAGGACAGCTGCCAGTACACAACAGACATGAAAAAGGAGATGAGGTAGAGGAACTAAGGACTTAACTTGGCTTCTCAACTGCAATGCAAACAGGGCTTTCTGTTTTAAGAGTGAATGGGAATTCAGATTTTAAATTATCGTGTGTTTTTCTTCTGTTAGGCTGCAGGTATGTCTAGCATTGCCTTTATCTTGGATCCTTAAAGTCTGTCCTTTAGGTCTCTTTTTCCACGTTACAGTACCTAATAATCTGCTTGAGATTTTCTGCTGCCTTGTTCTTGAATACTGTATTTTGGATGATAAAKTGGATTTGTTCTAACATGTCCAAAATCTGGCTGTTTCCAACAATTCACTTGTTTGAAAACAGAGGTCCTGAGAAACTTTTTGTATGCAGACTGAAGAATGGCACTGCAATTCCACWGCATTATAATATTCTTCATTTCATGGGTTTGCACAGACTAAAAGCAGAATGCAGTGCCCCATTTCAAGTCATGAATTTGATTTTGAACTAATACTTCTGCCCAGTTCTATGCATATCACAGCTAAAACCACACAAACTGTGTTCCTAACTGCCACTGACACAGTATGTCCTGAGCAAATCATTATCCTCTCTATTTGCATCTTCCCATCTGTAGGGGTTTGCTAGCTTAATAATGTATTAGTCTTTGCAAAGCACTCCAAAAGCCTTTGATGTRCACAGCTTATGTGCAGTGGGATATTAAAAAAAATAAACTCAGACAAAGTGAAATATAATAATTTCTGGATTACCTTCTTGACCCACAAAAAGCATTACTTCCTTTTATTTATTAGAAAATGGAAGTGAGTGCCACAGGCATACAGATTCTGTCGTACTAGAGACCCTGTAGCTCCCCCTTTTTACGGTATCACACTCCTCCCAGCTCAAGTTCAAGTGATGGACACAGAGACAGAGATCCTTACCCCTCTGTCAGTCATGTGAGACCACAGGTCTCCTTCTCATCTGGAATGGTATTAGGGTCTCTCTATCCACTTTGGAGAGATGAAAGGCAATTAGTCCTTTGCAGTCAATACCTTCCCACACCTTGACCAAGATCTTTGAGGAAATCACACCTCTCAGATCTGCCATTGCAAGTAGTGAAGACAGACAATGTTAACCTACATCTGTCTCTTTGATTCTTATTTCCTTGCTAGTGTTTTTAAGAAAATTGAAATTCTAGTATGTCATTAACACTGAYGCAGGGGCCCAAGGTGTGTCATGTTTTAATCCACGCTCAGTGTCTTGTTCTGTCAGAACCAAAATAATTATTTTGTGATGTGTTTTGCAGCTTAGGAATGAAATTTTTACAGTGTATCTCAAGTTGTTATACTGAAATACTCTTGATAAACCTATTCTAAGAGGTATAAAGGGATTGGATAGGTGAAAACAAAGCATGCACCACTGGAATAAAAACTGGAGCTCAAAACCTCTGGGTTTGTGATTTCTGTGTTAGCAACCATCTGTTGCTTTCACAGCTTACAACAGCAATCRTAAGAGGAGGTTCTCACTCCCAACCATCTGTTTTTAGAGAGGAAGCCAAAAATAGACATCAGGCAGAGTTGCTAGAGGAATCCAACCTTCATGCAGCAAAGGGTAATCACTACTGCACAGAGT